TACCTGACAAATTGCTGTGTCTTGATGATGGTAAGGACTCGTCGTAAATTCTTTCATTGTGCATGCCACTCTCTGTTACTACTTCATCGTACGCGTTGATATCATCTCCTGTGGCTGCACTTCTCTGCTCATCGATAGTTTCCAATTCTATAATTTGTCAAGCATCTTAGAGATATTTTGAACACAAAATTAACTCATCTCAAATTAGTCGTCTTACTACACACCAATTCAAACTGTTGGGCACTGGAAGTGTTACTACTGTATGATAAGGTAAATGCTGAAGGTCTGTGCCAGTGTACTGAGGTACTCGTAGTGCCGATGAAAAGAAAGCTTCGGACAGATAGGGACGCACCCACCTGAAAAAAATACAAGTAGAACTTTGACGTTTCGCCGGAGCAAAAGCCTGTCGGCAGAGGGCCTTCGCTCAAAACGTCGAATTCTCGATCAGAAGCTTTCTCAAATGCTGTCTATGGTCATCTTTATGAACATAAATACGATATAAAATAATGTCAGTCAAATCTAGAAAACTGTAGAAAAACATCGTTTGTAACCCTATTCGGTACAAGATTTTGTATTCGCGTGAACACAATGGATGGTTCCAGCTATAGACTAAATTTTGATCTAGGCAAGAAGAACAAACTCCATCACCACAGCTAGAAAGAGCATGTTAAAATTAGTAAAATTGCAAAGTTTGGTTGCGAAATGTTGTAAAATGAGGAAAATATAACTCTGCGAAATTTGCAAATTTTATATTGATATTTAGTATAATTACATAGGTGATTATTGAAAATTCTCCACGCTGATTGGTTGCCGTTGAGGTGATTATTACGCGATAATCACCTAAGCGATTTTCAAAATGGCGGCCGAAGCCTTTTTGTCAATTAAATGATGAAGAAATGTGTATTTTCATATTTTTTTCCAAATAATCACCTATGAAATTATACTAAAACAATTATTCACCTCAGACTCGGTGATTATCGTGAATAAAAACCTCGACTTCGTCTCGGTTTTTATTCACCGATAATCACCTCGCCTTCGGCGAATAATTGTTAAATATTACGCGCGGGCAAATGCACCACATTTGGGCCGAGAGCAATTTTACTAATTTTAACATGCTCTTTCTACCTGTGGTGATGGATTTTTTTCTTCTTGCCTAGATCAAAATTTAGTCCATAGCTAGAATCGTGCATTTGTACGTTTCTCTATTAATTACCTGTAATTTTCAAATGTTTGTCCTGCATTCTAAAAAGGATGAAAATATTAACAATCCAACAATTATAGACATTGTCGAGAAGATGAGGAAGGCAAGACTGAGATGGTATGGAGATATATGAAGATACTGAGATGGCATGGATATAGAGAACGAGAGATACCGAAGAAGACATGGATGGAATGTGAGAGAGAAGATCGACACATTAACAAATTGACGCTGAACTTGAGTTGACACGAGACATCGAGGCATGAAAGGGCGAAGGAAAGTTTTACTCACCTTTTCCTATCCTTCCACAGAAATCCGACAATAATTCCAAGAACAACATTGGCGACAAGGGAGGCAGAAAACAAAGCAATGAATATTTTCTTTGATACGATTGATTCTAAAATGTTGACAAACATTATAGTTGAATTTTCTAGCCAGTTCTATTGAAGATATAAGATTGTGTGAAGATGATTGATTAAATGAGTACATTTTCTTATTTACCTATGAGATTATATTGAAGAATATGAATGCTTATATCAAAACGAATCAAAAACTAAACACAATGTATTACTAAAAATCTCCTAACTGCTTAATCCGTAAGCAATGGTCTACTAAGAATAAAGGGCATGAAGAAATAAAGAAATCGATACAATGAACTAAATAGGTAAATTATATAAATAACAATACTTGGTTCTGCTGTTGTTTCTGTTGTCACTGTAACAGACGAAATTGTTTTTGTTGTTATCTGTGAAGATTTAGGTTCAGTGGAGGTTACTGTGGGATCAGATGGTACAGAGACGGTGTCTAGATAAAATAAATTAAGCATATTTAAACTAGATCATGCGTAAAGTACAGAGAAAAGAACTTTGTGATATAAACACCAATTAGCAAGCAACGGAGCCTGCATATATAATAATATGCAAAGCTTGTATAGCTTGGAAGTTACTGTTAACTTGAAGTCACATTTTTTTACAGTTACCTGCAGACCATGTTCCAAGAACCTTCGCTCGCAGGCATTTTCTTTGGTATAATTTGATGTCAGCGTTTACCCGCGAGTCATTCACCTCACAGTAGAGATTGAAAGTGATTATCGTCCCCTGCAAATTTGGAACTGATTTTTTCCACTAAAAAAGGAAAAACAAACTGATTTTAAATTTAGTTAAGAAAAACATGAATGAATGCATTCACGTACTTTAAAATATAAAACTTTGTTGGAGACGTTCAAGTCAACGTAAGATTGATCCAACCATTGCAACTCCATTTCTGTAGCGTTGTCTGGAAACTTTACCAGGACAGGTTTGCCATTTGTCGGCAAGGAACAATTCTTTATCACTATCTTTGGTTCGCCAAAGTCACTAAATTTCGTGGCTTGTTCCTTCTGGCTGTGGGGTATTAGTTGAAAAGGGCCCAATACGCAGTCGGCGGTTTTTCCTAATATATTTAAATAGTATTAAAAATAAGACTTTTTGAGCAAGATGAACTGAAGAAATTTTGCAACATTGACAAGTTGCTTCCTCGTGCCATCTCAATCAGGCCCTCCTTTGAGAATTTGTCAGTGGAGAGGCTATCAAGAGAAAGGAACCCAACTAAAAGGTGGTGAACGGGAAAAGTGATGGGAACTTTTTGCCCAGAAAAATTTTTTTTTAGTGTCTGAGGCTTGATTTTCGGCATATTTAGACACAATTTTATATAATTTCATCCGCTAGACAAAGAGTTGGTCATGGGAATTCTAAAATACTCTTATTAACTAAGTTATTTTTCCCTTTTTTGCATGCTTATATATTAGACAGAAGGGCCTTCACTGGGTAGGGAGGGGGGACAATATAGTTCACTGGAGGGACCAAAACAGGGGTTGGAGGCAGTGGCGCCGTGGGACCCATGTTTTTTTTTTTGGGGGGGGGGGGCAAAAGCAGTACTTTTCCGACAAACCGAAAATTTTTTCCGCCAAACCAAAAATTTTTCCGGACAACATTTTAAATATTCACCTCCCCCCCGTCGACAACTTTGACAATTTCCGACTAGGAGGGGGGAAATAGGGGGGCCATGGCCCTCCCTGCCCCTCCGGTCACGGCGCCACTGGCTGGAGGGACAAGTTCACACAGTCTATGGTATCAAAAAAGACCCTAAACATTTAATGGTACAGAAGGTCATGAAACAAGTTTAAATCTTCAGCTGCAAAGTTGAAATGAACTACGTGTATAATTATCATAAGAACTTACCAACTCCAGCGCGAATACTTTCACTGTCAAGACAGCCATAATTTTTACCATCACCAGCTCTTGTACGAGGATTTCGAAAATTAGGTTCATCATCACTGCACAGACACGATTTATCAGACTGACATGTTGCAGGACTCGTACAAACACTTGTATCAAGCTTACAACCGTCTTTTCCAACACGAAAACTGTCTAGACCATTTCGATTGACCAAAATAACTTCACAACCAGTCAAAACTATTTTGTAAGACAAATAAATAACCCACACTAACAACATTGTGAATTTTAAAGACATATTTGTTAAACAGCAGTGAGCACTTGGGAAATAAACACGAATTCGTATGCTATTCCTTACAAAGTACTGCACATTGAAGCTGACACTATTTTGTATATAAGAGAATCACGAGTATTTCTTTTCCTGTTTGCACTGATAAACACTCAGTTTTTGAAAGTGAAACAGCATGATATTCCGTTTCTAGACCGAATCCACACATGGCAAAGCGGAACTTTCGATCAAAACCGGATTGGAAGTTTTGAGACAAGAATCTACTCTCATTTTCTGACGACGGACTAGACTACGTCCGCTCGAAACGCCGCAATGTTTTCATGAAATTCATAAATTGAATTGTGCCACTTTAACTAACATGAAACAGCATGAAATAGCAACTGTTGACAAATTATATCATCGGGTTGTTTATCTTAAAAAATTCTGAAACATAACCGTCTCTAAAAATAACAAATTCTAAATTGTCCTTTTATCAAAGACTTCATCAAGGCTTACATTTAATATAAATTGTCTATGACCGGACTATTATACTTTGTTGAAAGAAAGCTATATCTGCAATTATTACTCAGGAATTCTTGGTTATCATAATCTGGTTGTAATTAAACAACACAGCCTGGTTAAATTAACCAGGAATCCTATACTGCATGTACTCCTGTAAAAAAACATGATGTAAAACTTAAACTGTTACTGTTTTAGCATATTATGCAAATACTGATAGAAAATTTCCTTATATATCCGCATTATTCTGAAGTAGCTGCATTGATTTCTATCTTTTTGACATCAGGAGTTTCATACACAGGCTCCGTATAAGAATTAACATGATCGACGTCTTTCCTGTTGACGTCAGGCTTCGCATATCCAGGATCTACTTGAGAATCAACTTCGTTGGCTTCCCTCTTTTTTATATCGACGGATTCATGTCGAGGTGCTGGGTTATAATTGGTGCTGTTAGTTTCTTTCATTTCAACATCTGGTGTTTCATAACCAGGGTTGGCATCTACAATCACACTCTGGCTATCTGGTGTTTCATAACCAGGGTTAGCTTCTACAATAACACTCTGGCTGGCTGGCGTTTCATAACCAGGGTTGGCTTCTACAATCACACTCTGGCTATCTGGTGTTTCATAACCAGGGTTAGCTTCTACAATAACACTCTGGCTGGCTGGCGTTTCATAACCAGGGTTGGCTTCTACAATCACACTCTGGCTGTCTGGCGTTTCATAACCAGGGTTGGCTTCTACAATCACACTCTGGCTGTCTGGCGTTTCATAACCAGGGTTGGCTTCTACAATCACACTCTGGCTATCTGGCGTTTTATAAGCAGGGTCAGCTTCTACAACAACACTCTGGCTATCTGGCGTTTCATAAGCAGGGTTCGCTTCTACAACCACACTCTGGCTATCTGGCGTTTCATAAGCAGGGTTGGCTTCAACAACCACACTCTGGCTATCTGGCGTTTCATAAGCAGGGTTAACTTCTACAACCACACTCTGGTTATCTGGTGTTTCATAAGCAGGGTTGGCTTCTACAACAACACTCTGGCTATCTGGCGTTTCATAAGCAGGGTTAACTTCTACAACCACACTCTGGTTATCTGGCGTTTCATAAGCAGGGTTGGCTTCAACAACCACACTCTGGCTATCTGGCGTCGTAAAAGCAGAGGCAGGGTTATTAGCATCTACCGTAATGCGTTGGCTATCTGGCGTTGCATAAGCATGGGAATCTTTAGCTTCCGCAACCATGCACTGGATATTTGGCGTTGCATTAGCATAGTTAACCTCTACGATCACGCGTTGACTATTTGGCGCTGGATCTTTCACGACAATGTGCTGGTTATTTAGCGCTGTGTAAAGAGGGTTAGAGCAAGCAGCAAATCTTTCGCTTGTGACTTTGGCGTCTTCATAAGCATGTGGTCCTTGAATATTACTCTCTGTGTATCTGAACTGCTTCATGCTTGTGGAACCTGAATTGAGAAAATAAGACGCACTGTTAGGGAAGCACTAATCACAGATACGTTTGTGTTTGGCATGTGTTTTTGACATGATGGATGAGTTACATGTTCTACAGTCAACTATCTCAGTTAGGACATCTGATGTTGTACAGAACTCGCCAGTGGCGGAAATTCACTCTTTCCGGTGGGGGGGGGGCGAAGCCTTCTGTATTTCCGACAAAACTTTCAAATTTCCGACAACCCCCCCCCATTTGCACTAGAAAAGGCTGTTTTTAGCCCTCTTATAAGTCAAAATTTCCAAAAATTCGTCATTTTCCATGAAGGTGGGGGCGGGGGGCGGCCGCCCCCTGCCCCACCGAGATTGCCGCCACTGGAACTCACTGCTGCATGGTCTGCAAATCATTCAGAGTTCATATGTCAGTTCAAGAATGTCGGCTATCATCCTAAAGTGATCTGATGTTGTACAGAACTCAACTGAACTCACTGCTGAGTTAAGCATGGTTAGATCATACTTAAGCGGTCATCTAATGTTATACAGAACTCACTGCTGAGTCAAGCATGCATGGCTTGATCATACAGAGGTAGAACATGTACTCCAATGTGCGTTATCTTTAAATGCTCACTGCTGAGTTAAGCATGGTTAGATCATGCAGGGGTAGTACATGTTCTTCAATATACATAATTCCGCATACCGTCGTCTTTGCAGGAACTTCCGCGACTTGATTGCTTTCTTGGTCTGTTGTAAAAATATCAAAGTACACGAAGTGTGACATTTTCTGGTGATATTCTTATAGATATAATTATGCGAAGCTTTTTCTTGATCCATTAATTAAAGAAAGCATCAAAACTGTAATTACTTTAAATTTAACAAAATAAATGGGAGATACTGATTCCATTTTGTCGATATTATGTCACACATTGCATGATACTGAACCAAAGCTATTCATTAATGTCTTTAGAAAGCTCACCTATTTCTCTTCTTGCGTTTACACAAGCACCCGACAACGACAACCAACACTAGCAAAAATACTGCAGCTGCCACAACAGCTACGATAGTAATTGTTCCACTGTAATCGCCATCACTGCTCGATCCTTCATCCGGAGAACTGGAACGAGCTGAAGTGGTAGGCTGCGACATTGTCATGGTACCAGTTTGGTTCAATGCTGATGTCATCGGTGTCTTAGTTACTACAGGAGTTGACCAAGTGGGATTTGTTCCTAAGAAGAATTTACCATGCATTGTCAGTTTTACGATTATATCAATAAAGCATTAATTGGCCATTGTGTGCGGTACATGCAAATATGGACATCAAAGGTTCAGTTCTTTTTACCAGTGATCAATTGTCCATTAAGCAAATGGATTCATCAAATTCTTGTAACCGGCATTAAATTGCGCCCTAAATGTAGTATTAACGAAAGCCAGCGACATAATGCAAATATAGGGCTTGCTTTGAAAACTGAGTTAAGTCTCAGACCAGCACAAGGAATAGTTTCCCTTTTTTAAGACTTTTAATCATGTGCTGAAAGCTCCTTGTTTATTGTAATGTCCGAGGATGAGGCGGAATTTTCAAGTTAAAACGTTCCACACTGCCTAGGGGAATTTGGAAAAAAAAGGACATCTTTACAATGAATTAAAGAAATTATTTAAAAACATACTTGGTTCTGCTGTTGTCGCTGCTGTTACTGTTACAGAGGAAGTTGGTTCTGATGTTATCTGTGAAGATTTAGATTTCCTGGAGGTTACTGCTGGCACAGAGACGGTGTCTAGAAAAAATGAAGTATGTAAAAATTTCTTATAACTTTCACTAATAATGCGGAAAGAAGAAAATACAAACTAGGAAATCATAACCGAAGATGAATCCAGGTGATATATAATACGATGATATTATATATCATTTACAATATCCTGACCGCTTAACCCTTTTCGCGGTAAGCTATATATGGTCTACAAAAGGGCACGAGTAAGAATAAAGATGACATCATTACAATGAAATAGAAGTAAAGAAGTTATTTATAAAACATACTTGGTTCTGCTGTTGTTACTGTTACAGAAGAAGTTGATTTTGTTTTTATCTCTGAAGATTTAGGTTGGTTGGAGGTTATTGTTGCCTCTGTAGGCTCAGTTGATGTGGAGATTTCTATTGGTTTAGTTGGTGTGGAGATTTCTGTTAGCTCAGTTGGTGTAGAGACCTCTGCTGGCTCAGTTGGTGAAAAAACCTCAGTCGGTGTGGAGACGGTGTCTAGATAAAATGAAGCATTTAAAGAATTTCCCACTAATAATATATAAAGACGAAATCACATAAGAAATAAAGTAAAGAAGTTATCTATAAAACATACTTGGTTCTGCTGTTGTGACTGTTACAAATGAAGTTGATTTTGTTGTTATCTGTGAAGATTTAGGTTGGATGGAGGTTACTGCTGAGTCTGCTGGTACAGTAACCTTTTTTCGCCCAGTTGGTGCCGACGAAGTTGATTTTGTTGTTATCTGTGAAGTCAGTGAAGATTTAGGTTGGCTGGAAGTTACTGCGGTTTCAGTTGGTACAGAGGCCTCTGTTGGCTCAGTTGGTGCAGACGAAGTTGAATTTGTTATCTGTGAAGATCTAGGTTGGCTAGAGGTTACTGTTGGCTCAGTTGGTACAGAGACTTCTGTTGGCTCAGTTGGTGCATACGAAGTTGATTTTGTTGTTATCTGTGAAGTCAGTGAAGATTTAGGTTGGCTGGAAGTTACTGCGGTTTCAGTTGGTACAGAGGCCTCTGTTGGCTCAGTTGGTGCCGACGAAGTTGATTTTGTTGTTATCTGTGAAGATTTAGGCTGGCTGGAGGTTACTGTTGCCTCAGTTGGTACAGGGACTTCTGTTGGCTCAGTTGGTGCAGACGAAGTTGATTTTGTTATCTGTGAAGATTTAGGTTTCGTGGAGGTTACTGTTGCCTCAGTTAGTACAGAGACGGTGTCTATATAAAATGAAGCATTTAAAAATTTCTCAATACAATGAATAATTTAAATAACTCTCACTGATAATAAATAAAGAAGAAAGCACGAACTAGGAAATTATAACTGAAGATGAATCACGGGTTATATATAGCACGACAGCTCATTATGTCACTGTTACAGACGATGTTGTTTTTGTTGTCATCTGTGGAGATTTAGGTTTGGTGGAGGTTACTGTTGCCTCAGGTGTAACAGAGACCTTTGCGGTTGAATCAGTTAATACAGAGACCTTTACTGTCACAGACGAAGTTATTTTTGTTGCTGTCTGTGAAGATTTAGGTTGGTTGGAAGTTACTGTTGACTCACTTGGTACAGAGACCTTTGTTGGCTCTGAGACAGCGCCTAGACGAAGATGGGGCATTTATATAGTTATGTATATGTATAATTAAATAGAAAAGATAATTTACTGACCATTTCTTGGAACTTTTGCTTGCAAGCATTTTGTCACACAAATACCAAATGCAGTTTTGCAGGTAACACAGCTTGAATCTAATTATATGCAAAACTTGCATAGCTTTGATGTTACAGATAACTTGAACTCTCCTTTTTTATATAGTTACCTGCAGACCATTTCCCAAGAACCTTTGCTCGCAGGCATTTTGTTTGGTAAGAGTGGTAAACCTTAATCCCTGGAATCTTCAACTCGCAGTAGAGATTGAACGTAATTATCGTCCCTTGCAAATTTGGAACTGATTTTTTCCACTGGAAAGAAAAAAAAAACAAAACAAATTTTAAACATAGTTTTAAAGACAAACATGAATGAATTCATTTACGTACTTTAAAATACATGTCATTGTTAGAAACGTTCAAATCAACGTAAGATTCATCCAACCATTGCAGCTCCATTTCTCTGGCCTTGTCTGGAAACTTTACCAGGACTTTTCTCAAGAAACAACTCTTCATAACTACGGTTGGATTATCTTTGTCAAAGAACTTCCTAGCTGGTTCGTTCTTCTTGTAGGGAATAAATTGAAAAGGGCCCAACGCGCAGTTTTTGGATACTCCTATATATTTAAAATAAGATTGATTTTTTGACCAGGTCACTCGCTCATATTGTTCATTCTGGCTATCAGACCTATACGATTTGCAAGCTGTCTTTCATGCAATTTTATCTCTATATTGGCCTGCGATGATGCAACAAGGATCGTGGGATTGGTTTTACGATTGTATTTAAATTGAGGCAGTTGGCAGTTTGCTTTATTTTATGGGAATTAAGGAGTTTTGTAAGCAGTGGCGGAAATCTTGGTGGGGCAGGGGGGCGGCCGCCCCCCCCCCACCTTCACGGAAAATTGCCGAATTTTCGGAAATTTTGACCTAAAAGAGGGCTAAAAACAGTCTTTTCAAGTGCAAATGGGGGGTATGTCGGAAATTTGAAAGTTTTGTCAGAAATTTAGGAGGCTTTCCCCCCCCACCGGAAAAAGTGAATTTCCGCCACTGTTTGTAAGAACATCATTCGAAAGTTGCCCTGTCTGCCCCCCCCGCTCGTACGCCTATGTTAGTGCAGAGAAAACTGTTTGAACACAAAAACATTTCAATATTGGTCAATATTGTAAACTTTCGATATGCAACTTGAAACTATGCAACTTGAAACATTATACAAGTAAGCTTAGGCCCGTTTCATACGCCGTACTTCAGATGTGCCGAATACATTAAAGACAATAGGTAATGAGCTGAAATGTCTCATTACCTATTGTTTTTAATGTATTCGGCACATGTGAAGTACGGCGTATGAAACGGGCCTTAATAAACTGCATGCATAATATTATATGGTTATAATAATAATGGTTAACATAACTTATTGTTATAACTAATTACTCACTAGTTGACTAAATAATAATGGTTTTAACCACCGATTGCAGGACCAAATAAACCTATATTTTCACTAGTTATGACTAATCGTGCACACTTGACGAAATAATAATTCAGTGTTATTTTGACCAATTTATATTGGTTCTAACCTATTTAATTGGTTAAATCAACCTATTAGTATTGGTTGCAACCTTTAGAAATAGCTTATTGTAAGCTACCAGTTTCCACAGCGTAATTACAGCAAGATTGGTGTGTTTCAGAATAATGACACGTAAATATTATCGTGCATCATGTAGAATAGATTTTAAAACACTTTGCCTTAATGCGAAAACTTTAATAATCCAATCATTTATGATACAGAAGCTTATGAAACAAGTTTAAATGTTTAGCTATAAAGTTGAAATGAACTATTAGCACTCACCAACTAGTCCAGCGCGGATGCTATAGCTGTATACACAGCCATGACCTTTATCATCACCAGTTCTTGTAGTAGGGTTTATATAATTAGGTTTCAAAATACCACACAAACACAGACCATCAGATTTTCTACATGTTGCATCAGAATTCGTACAAACACTTGAATAATACGTACAACCATATTTCCCAACATGAAAGCTGTCTACAACATTTCGATTGACCCAAACCACTTCACAGCTAGTCAAAACCATTTTGTAAGACAAATAAATAGCCCACACTAACACTACTGTGTATTTTAAAGACATATTTATCAAATACCAGTGACCACTTGGGAATGATAAACACGAATTTGTATGGTATTCCTTACAAAATACTATACATTGTCATTGAAGCTGATATTTCGTATATAAGAGAATCATGAGCATTTGTCGTCCTGTTTGCAATTTTAAACACTCAGTTCTTGAAAACGAAACAGCATGATATCACGTTTTTAGACCCAACCCTCATGACAAAGAACTTTCGATTAAAACCGGATCCAACGTTTTGAGAAGAATATACTCTCATTTTCTGAAGGAAGACTATATATACGCCCGCTCGAAACGCCGTGATTTCTCATGAAATTCGTGATGTTCTCATGAAATTCATAAATTGAATTGGAAATTTGTAAAACGTAACTGCTCTGTCATCAAATAAAAGCTTGTCGTGAGTTTTTTAATTCTAAAACTACACTTGACGTGCTTTCAGTCAGAGATTAAGCGATTTTCTTCACTAAAAAGAACAAGACAATTAAAAAGACATTGTGCACAGCTCGCGCGGAAATATGCATATCTGCCTTGCCTAACACAAGTGCAAGAACAGCAATTTTTAACTCCCCATCCCCCCGGTTCAATGTTGACAGCTTATAAAGTGGTCAGGTCTAAACCAACATTGTAAGGGGGGGGGGGGGGAGTGGTTGGGTGGCGGAGACAAAGACGCCAGGAAATTTTAAAACAAGCTGTTTTGAGACTGTAGTACTCAGCCTTTGTGTTATTATAAGCAGTAGCGTTTTTCTTGTAAATTCATACCTTACATCGCTCGTGTGAACTCTACAAAAATCCAACGACAATTGTCCTAAAAACAACTTTGCACAGTCGTAATACGACGACAATAGATTACCTAACAAACAAACGAGTTGTTCTGGCTTACAGTATGGGATTAAGTTCTCAAAATCGGAAGGGTTGCGTGCTCAGGAAACACTGATTAACAGTCAAACAATAACAAAGCCAAACGTAATTGCTTGCGGGTAATATGACCGCGTTTGGCGCGCCGGAAATGACACTAGAACGTTGCACAGGCTAGAAGTGTGCCATTTTATGTACCGCGGTGCATTATGGTCCAATGGCGCTGCAACACGAGACACAATATTATATTTAACTAAAGTAACGATGTTTGAGACGAAACCAGGGTTATTCATATTGAGTTTTTTTAGTTTACCCTCTTTGATTTGGTTTAAAATATATATTTATTTCACAGGCTTATGTTATCATTAATTATTATTAATATTAATATTCATGTTATTGCTGAGGGCCCCCTATACCTCTTCACAATATGCTTTCACGTAAAAATATTTTGCCTTTTCACGAGTCACGGATTAAAAAAATCATCGATCACGTTTCACGGCTAAGTAAAATAAGCCCTTCACGCTTCACGCAAAACATATAGGGGGCCCGATCACGTTTCACGGCTAAGTAAAATAAGCCCTTCACGCTTCACGCAAAAAGTATAGGGGGGCCTCATTGCTGTTGTTTTATTATTTTCGGTGTGATTCAATGATTCATTAAAGCATAAAACATTAATATTATTTGTATTCGTTGTGGAACGAAATCTGTTTGTGTCCTTAATACATGATATAAAACATAAATTTTTACTGTTTATTGAAAATACTGATATTAAAAATTGCCTTATATTCTCACTAATCTGCAGTAGCTGCATTGATTTTTTTCCTGTTGACATCAGGAGTTTCATACCCAGGCTCCGGATAAGAATTAACGCGATCGATGTCTTTCCTGTTGATGTCAGGAGTTTCATACCCAGGTTCTGGATAAGAATTAACGCGATCGACTTCTCTTTCTTTGACATCTGGCGTCGCATATCCAGGATCTGCTTGGGAATCGTTGGACACTCTCTTTTTCATATCGACGGATTCATATCCAGGTTCTGGATTACAACTGGCGATATTGGCTTCTTCACTTTTATGATCTGGCGTTGTATAAGCAGGGTTAGCTTCTACAACCACACTCTGGCTATCTGGCGTTTCATAAGCAGGGTTACCTTCTACAACAACACTCTGGTTATATGGCGTTTCATAAGCAGGGTTAACTTCTACAACGACACTCTGGCTATCTGGCGTTTCATAAGCAGGGTTAGCTTCTACAAC